TAGCCTACGAGCTTTTCTTTCGCGCCCCTGCTCTCCTCGTTCGTAATTTCGCCTTAGACGTCAAAACCGATTCTCCAGCTGCACGTAATTTTTATCGTCGTTCACCCTCCCCCCCCCCCCGCCCCCAGTGGCGCAGCGACGATTAGTCTTTTACACCATACATCGCGTCTATTATACGAACTGCTATTAGTTATATAGTCGGGATTCGCGAATATCATTTTCAGCGCGCTACGCGAAATCGACGCGTTATATCATGCGCTGTTTGAAAAAATCCATTGGATAAACTGTTTTCATAAGGTTATGAACGGTGTCTCGCTTAATTGAACGCTATTCGATTTGCGCGTACGGGGTGCGGCGCGAGGCAACTATTCAATTTAAAAAATCGCCGAATAAAATATCTCCCGGGCTCAATTTCGGGCCGACGAGGTGCAGCGAAGAAAAAAAAAAATCAAAAAGAGAACGAGCACCTCTCGCGGTCTTTCTACGTCAATACCCCAATAACAGTAACCTTTAACGCCCAATTCTCGTTCTCTTCTCCGCGCTCTCTACGGCGACAGCGTTCCCGCCGACAATTTGGCCGTCGGTGCGAATTTCGAAAGCCGCAGTGTAACGTGTAATACCGGCGGCACCATCGGAAAGCCGCGGCGAAAAAAAGAGGGGAGGAAACGGTGTATTCGGGGCGAGGGCCTAGCGAGGCCGTAAACTCCAACGTCTTCGTATGCTGCAAGAACAAAAGCTGCACAATTGCTAAATGACCTGCCCCGGCGAAATAAATCCGTGGCAGCGATTGTTCCACAGCCGCGTATAAGCTAGCGTTGAAAATGGAGGACTGTTTTGAGCTCTGGCGGCTTTTTGGGGACAGGACTGGAGGTTATTGTTTTTCAGATTATTCGTGGGAATCGTTGACTGCCATCGTGTACTAGGAAACTTTTTAAAACGTATATACTTTTTTTCAGGCACAGTGGAATTCATATGACCAATGCTCTTATTTCCAATACGATATTTCAATGTAAAAAAGAGCAGAATGAACAATGGGCTTTAAAGCACTAATGAAATGAACCGGACACTGCAGCTTCGAACAAGCAGATTACGTCTCTGCCTTTCTTTTTTAATTTAATAGTCTACAAATTAAAACGATGTGTGTCAAGCTTTCGTTATAACGAATGTATGAAGGTTAGTTTAATTAAAAGTCATTTTTTTCAATAAGAAAATAAATTACTACTTGCTGAAGAGTATGACGACTCACTTGACATTTGTTAAAAAAGAAAATATCGCTTTAATGAATTAAATTTCGCTAGTTTGTTTGAACGAGAAAAAAAATTTGTTGCCAAAAAATATCGAAAGCTGACAGTCTAAAAGATGATAAAATATTCTGTTGGAACATACCGTATAAGGCAATAATTCTAAACATATTCAAAATTCAACTTTACAACTAAAATTAGGTATACACGCGAAGAAAAATGTTGTGAAAAAATGATCCGAGACACTTGTAATGAGTATACGTCTTGGCAGATTTTTTTTTTGTCGGCCCGTTTTGAATTACCAGAGAAAAATTCTCATTTCTGTTGAGCTGCTCAAGTGTCATAAAACCCCCACGAGATTTGCATCCTCGGTGTTCCTCAAGGGACGTAGAGCAGGAGGTCGGGCTCGCGAGATTCGTTGCGAAGAGGAAGAAGGCAGAAAGGGGCGACACGAGAAGAGAAGGAAAAGCTAAACCCGGGACGACTACGCCAAGCGTAGAATTAACATATAACCATTGTTCTGCCAAGATGCGCACCCGGAGTAGCTAGCTACATGGGAGAAAGAACGGGAGGAGTGGCGCGATATGCTACCGCCACCAGCAACCACCGCAAGTTAAGAAAGCTTCTTCTCCCTTTCAACAATGACTCTTTATTCGCTGCAGGTTGGCGTATATATACTCGAAAACACGCACGAGTACATTATGCGTTGTGCTAGAAGCCAAAGGGGCCTCTTTTAATAAGACGCGCGCGCGCGAGCGCAGCAGAGAAATTTTCAGGGATATAGCATTCTCTCCCGAATGGAAAAGTGGCTCGCAGTTACCGCTTGGAATTAATGAACCTATGTTTACAAAGTGCTGCGAGGGGGAGCGCGCAACTCGAGTCACTTATGTACGATTGTGGTGTGCGAAACAAACTTGTCCAACTGAATATTCAATGGTAAAAGTAGCTGTCGTTAAGGCAATGCGAATGACAATGTTTAATTTCCGGAAATATGTGGTTTGGGCACAAAACTCTGCCACTCGAAAACAGACGGGGAACACGTGTTCCTGCAGACTGCCGAGAATTCGAGTCGAGAATCAATGCGCTCGTACACTCAGTCGCCTTCCCCTTGGCAACGTCGAGAGAGCTGTCTGCCTGCAACAAGTAACTGCGCTTTTTCAAGTGTAGCCTCTGGGACAATTGAGTATAAGTGATTACTTTCGTTCTTTCTTTTTATTTTACGACAAATGAGCACTTCAAATTGAATAGCCGAGTGGCATTCGTGGAGAAAAGAAACATAACAATGCAGGCGTTTCGTTCCCAGCACCTTTTAATTAAAATACTATTTTCAATTCGACACTGCTATGCTATCAAAGTAAATTAACTAATTCACATCAGATTTAATATCTGATTTTTTTTTAGAACAAGGAACGTTAACTCTCTTTTCCAACTCGTAATACTGGGATAAAAACAGCTCGACTCTTATTACATTTGTGCTGTAGTCTAGCCGAGGAAGCAATAATGAAAATAGATCATTCAAAATGTCTAGCTGATAATCACAAACCTACAAAATTTTAAAAATTTTACAAATTTAAGAAAAATTCGGAACCAGAGATCAGATATAATCTACCCAAAGGATTTTGATGCGCAGATTACTAATCTGATTATAAAATTGCTTTATCACCCTATGTTTTCGAGATTTCTTAAACTAAAAATACGAAAAATACGTGCTTTTATGTTATGTTTGCGCTTCTATCATGTCGCGAATTATTGATTCATTGCAAATTGAAAAATGCTATCTCAAAGTACTACTCTCACCCTGCAAAACATGCATAAATAAAGTTAAGATATGTACCTTAGCTACATTAATATTCGATCCTATCCTTCGATCCTATATTACGCAGGGCGGAAAAATTTTAAAACTAAAAAACTTAAAAAGCAGATAACACGTGCCTGAAGTTTTTATGCGCTGAATCCAAATTCTACCACCGAATCGATCCATCGCCCTAACTTACCGAGATATTCTAACACTGTTTTTAGGACGTTTAGATTAGAATATCTAGGTGTCTCAGAGTGATAGGTCGATTCTGCGGTCGAATTAATATTCAGCGCATCAAAATACTTCAGGCACGCGTTGTCTGCTTTAAAGGTTTTTTTAGTTTTAAAATTATGTCAACCTGCGTAGTATAAAAAGTATAGTACAGAATAGAATATTGCGTTAGGTAAGGTACTGAACTTTGACTCGGTATATCTCTGTGGAAAAAAAAAGATTTTTTAAATATGAAAAAAAGATTTTGAAGGGTAAGTATGAAACTTCGAGTTGGCTTTATGTGATCTGCAATTAAAAAATAATTCGCGATATGATAGAAGCGCAAATATAACAAAAGAGCGTGTTTTTTGCACTTTTAGATTAAGACATCTTGAAAACAGAGTGCTAGAACAATTTTGAGGTCATATTCGTAATTAGAGCATTAAAATCCTTCAGATAAATTATGGTCTGTCGTTCTGGAAATTGCCGGCCTGATAATTGAACGTAAAATATTTTCAATTAGTGCAGGGATAGCGGTAATAAAATCAATCAGCCGCTGGCTCTCTCGAAAGATTACGTTAGGTAAAGCATGTTGTCATTTGACGGTTAAACTAGCAATGCGCCGCGACTGCGGAACTTCGGATAAGAGATGTAACGTGTGCGCCCCACGTGTTCATCAGAAAAATCGATCCTCGTGAGAAGATCCTTCTACTGATCATATGCTGCGCATGATCAAAGATTGTTTGCGGTCTCAAACGACTTCCGCGCTCGGCGTGCTTTCAGACTTTGGATTTTCGGCAATCCTAGCATTCTGTTTGAAATACCGTCGTTAAGAGAATTTTTTTATACAATTTCGTCCTTGGATCGTAACGAGAATTTATTTAGTTTCTTTGCAGCAGTAACTTATATTTCGATAATCAGCTAAAGAAAGAAAAAACACGGTAAGCGATATATGTTATGCTGAATTCTTCACGAATGAGAAAATAAAATAGCATTTCAGCGCTCATTGTTCCATTTTTGAAAAAGTCGCATGAATGGAATGCTGAAGATGGTCGAGCACATATTCTTTAAAAAAGAACTAGTGAGGAAATTGAGAGGAAAGCCACCCGCAAACTAGGAGCGCGTGCTTAAAATTCCTCACGGAGAGGTGCGGTGAGTCTTGCTTTAAATTTAGTTTACAAATTATTTTCTTCTATTAATGAGGGATTATGGTATTAGTCAATAATTAAAACAGCAATAAATCCTGGCAACAGTCTTGCAATAAAAAAAATACCGTTAATTTTCTTTCACCGTAAAAACTATAAATTTTAAGTCATTATGAATAGCGAGGATCTTGAGATTAATACAAGACATGTTTAAAATGAAATCTTTATTTAGAAAGTTACTTGTACAATAGATTCTGTTTAATTTACTAGGTTTTACAGCAATGAGGGTTTGCGCTCCGCAGTTAATCACTTTGCTGATAAAAAGCCCGTAAATTCAAGTTCAAAGAAGTCAGTAAAATAATCGACCCTCATCTTCAAAAATAAATTCATCCATTTGAGATAACACTTGGAGAAACTTTCTTTCTCCTAAGACTGGTTATTATAGACTTTAGTATTAAGAGTAAAGCCACGGTACATAAAAGCAATAAAATTTATGTTCATGTGGAACATTATACTGCGATAGGGAACCATGCATACCTCGACCGATTATCAATGTCGTTGAAAAATATTTTCTTGTAAATATAAAAAGAAGTGAAAGAAACTAACCACGTGCTCCTGACCGGCGACATGACCCGGCGACGTTGGCGACGGGCCGTGGGGCACCGCAACAGTCTTTCGTTTGAAACTTCCTCTTTAATAAAGAAAAACAGCCGCGAAAAAAGGCCGATATAAGCACCGCTCACTAATATAGTCCCATGCAGCACTTGAATCTTGAATAGTAATACTTTGTCAGAGCAAAAGCTTCGTGGTAAAAAAAATCATAAAAAATAACGAAATGTGGATGTCGTCCGTCACAGCATGCGCGTGTTAACGATACCGGCGTGGAGAAAAGGCGCGAGGGGTCGAGCACGACGCTTATAAGGCGCCTGCTCTCGAGAACCTTCGCGGACGGGGGTCGGCGGACGACTAGTTGTATGTATGGACTGCTCTCAGCACGAAGAGAGAGAGAGAGAGTCGAAAGAGAGAAGCTGCGCGCGCCGACGAGGCCCGCTGACATACACCGAACTTGCCCCGGCTAATTGCTCTCGACTCTCGCTCTTTCTCATCCTCAACCGATCCACCGACCAACCTCCTCCTCCTCCTCCTCCTCCTCTTCCTCCTCCACCACCACCACCACCACCACCTCATCGTGCGTGTATACCTACATGCGGCCGCAGTCCGTTTTCCATTTTTTGTCCACGAGCCTAAGGGCTGCCGTCACCGTGGCAAGCATCGCGCGAGCTGGAGGTTCAAGGCATTACGTGTCAATGTGCTAAAGATTAATGTGGCCGAAGATCGCCTCTGCGTTTTAGGGCAGAAAATACATGTGCGGTCGCGATTTCGTTGCCACGTTCTTCGACGCTCTACTTATAGGAATTCAACGGTCATAAATAACAATCCCGTCATTGATATATCCTGCAGTTCGGCTCACTTTTTTCTTACCGCCAGAGCACGGCGCTCGATGCAACATGACGCGGCGGGTATGATTTTTCGGTCGACTACATTCTCAATAAAAATTTTCTTTTGCCCTATCAACTTCAACTATAACGATATGTTGTACTATAAGTTATTAGAATGGAAAAGCTTGTATGGTATTTTTGCGTTATCACATCACACATCCGGCAATTCCGGCATAGAAAATAATCAACTTCCAAAACGAAAAAGACGAGGTTTTGACCCACAAATTCTAACATATTCACTGCAATTGTCGCATATTACATTAATAATATTTTTATAACTTTTCAAAAATATTAGCTAGACATAATTTTGAAAAATATATCAACGATGATTTAGTCTTTTGTATTATATTAAATGTACTCAATCTTTATATCAGTTATGTACGGAGAAAGAGTCCCATTATAAAAAAGTAATGGAAACCCAGTTGAAGCATTTTATTCATGATCTGGAGATATAGTCAAATGATATACTGTTATGCGGCGGCAAATGAACGTGTAGATGTGGTTTCGAGTTGACAATTTAGTAATAAAAATTTAATTTATCATAATTGATGTGGATAATTTTGAAGATACTAAAAGTAAAAGAAGTAGACTGAATGTCATTGTTTTTACACTCATTTTACGAAACTAACAACGAATAAATCGTTTCGTAAAATCAAGAGGTCCAAGTAAGAGCGCGCAAGATGCATCTAATACTATATATTTTTATTTTCCTATTTGAAAAAATAATGGCTTGCCGAGTAAGTCATTTTATTCGTGATCTGATTGACTGAATGTGATCAATCAGATGGATTGGCTAATTCCATATAGGTCATCATTATGAGTAAATCGACACTAAACCATAAATCAAGACGTTTTACATCTATTAATATTTTATTAATACAAATAAGTATAATAATTTTGTAGACATTGAAAAAACAATTACTTCCACATTCTCTAAACGGCCTAACTTTAAAATATTACGATAAATCTTAATGCACGCAAATTACATTTATTTATAGGACATATAAAATTGAATATCTTTATTGTAAAATTTAGATTCGGATAAATATCATTAACAATGCAAGGTATTATAAATCTATATTTCATATGTAATTCGATGAATTGAATTCGGGATCGTTAATTTATCTTTTTTTTTAATTTGGGGTTTAATTTACAAATTTAAAGTCTCCAAATAATCGTGGATAAAAAATTGAAAAAATAGTTGAAAAACTGTTAAATTTGAATAATATATCTGTTGATAAAGAGATCTGTTGATATATAAACTTGCATGATGTGGAGAACAATTGGCGTCATCGAAATTTCCGATAATGAGAGTGAGTCATAAACCTAACAGTTGTACACTTTCTTATGCACTCTTAGTAAATTCTTTCCGGCTTAAGATACATTTTTGAATAATTTAAATTGATAAATAATCTCATAATCTTAGACCAATTAATGTCAACATATAGTAAGCGTTTTAAAGCATATAATTGGTTTATTTATGTACAGTGTATTTTAGACTTCTTTTATTTCTTCTATAACAATTTTGATTTGATCCAAGCATGAAACTGAATATTATTGAATTCAAGCAGAAGATGAGCGCGCGACGGGCGCTTGACGACACTAGTTGATTTAAAAAATAAATCAAGTACAAATTTCATAATTCCAAGAACAATCAACTCATTCAGGTGTATGTAAATATTTATAGGACATGAAAAAATCACACTCAAAGGCTGAGTTTCTGCTACCCACGTTGCATGTAAATAATTAACAAATGCATAAGGTATCTATTTCAAAGTGCATATTTTGGAAAAAATGACGAGTCTCATATACGAAGCCTTTTTTATATACTAATACTAAACTGTTTAAAACTAGTTAGTTTACTAATTTTACCAATAGTCCGCAAAAGGAAATAAAATAGATACCTTATTATATGGTAAAGAAATATAATATGTAAAAAATAGCAAGGAATCTGCATCCTCGTTGTGTGTGTCATTCGCGCGAAAATTTCGGGAACTGTTTGTGATTGAATGTTGAACTTCTCTCGTGAAAACAACGAACCACTAAATGCAACAAACTATATACCAAAACATTGTGATCAGAATCGAAAAAAATAGCACAGGTCAAAATCTGACGAAGAATGAAAAGGAAAAGAAAAGGAGAAAATGTATGAAAAAAGGTGCATATCACTGACCGGAAAGAGGAGCGCGTGTACCACATGACGCTGATTGAAAGCGGCTGGTCCAGGCCGCGGATGTGATCCTCTTAGAACTTTAGTCGTATCCTCGCTCGCTGTAGTCGCGTCTCCGTGTGTAGGAGAGTATATGTGTGCATGAACACGAGATCCTTCGAAACGATCTCTTTCTCTCTCGCGGGTCGTATATATGTGTCGCGCGCGAGTTCGCGGCTAACTGCGAGGAGAGGTTTCTACAGTTCGTCGGGAAAGAGAGTCGCCGCGGAACGAAACGGACTTCGGCAGAAGGGGACTTCATTCATCCCGCTCGAGCTCGCACGAGCAAGTATAGAAAAGAGACGATCGCGTCGCCCCCGCAAAACCGCATAACCCTCCTCCTCGTTCTCCTCTCCGCGATGGCCCCGAGATCAGTGAATCGCCAGATGCACGGCGTCTGCTCACCGGTCATTCTTGCATAATTCATTGTGCTCTCGGCCTCGTTTCTGTGTCTGCGAGCTTCATCTCTCTCTCACTCTCTCTCTCTCTCTCTCTCTCTCTCTCTCTCTCTCTCTCTCTCTCTTTCTTTTTTGCAATTATCCGATGATTCAAGCCGATCGCTCGTGATCATTCGATCGATTATTTTACATATTATAATTGCATTTGTAATAATCGTTAGAACTTGACGACTGAGCTGGCTTATTGGAATATTGTTGAAAAAGATGCACTTGAAAAAATTGCAACTTATTGGCGTTGCTCCAATTACTCGTAATTGTTTACCGGGCATGAAGCTAATTAACACTGAATGCACCGATTGTTGGCCTATGATTTATAAATATGAGCGTGAGGCAGCGAATTCATCGTGATGATCGGAAGCTCCGGTCCATTGTTAGCATTAATAAGTTGATTTATTTTGCAATGTGCACACACATTTTGTCAAAATTATTATAATTATTACAGCTTGCAAAACAACAACCAACTCGAATTCAGTTAGTTATGAAGCCACGCACGTAACTCAGTTGAGATATAGGTAGTGCAAATATGCATCAATTAACGGGTCAAAAGCATGGAACCTGCAAGTTCAATGAACAAACGCTTTCTTACCGCGCTCAGCGAATTCCATCGGTGCTGCATGTACGCGTGAGTTGCAAAAACACCGCGCGAAGTAACAGATAGAAGTAGCACGTGGCGAGTGGCAAAGCCGCGTGTCGTCCTCTTGGCGTAATACTAGCATGAACTTACATTCTTTCATTAGCTGATTGTCGTGTTTATTTCTCAAGTTCCGAGAATTATTTTTTTTTCTATCCCGCGTGTGTACCTTTGGAATTCTTTGGCACTTCTCCCCGGGTACCGTTGGTTTGCACTCTTCATTCCATGCGCGTACGTAAAGCTTTCGTCCAGAAGCTACACATGCTATATCGGTGTTGTTTAATCAACTGAACCAACAGTTCAATAGTCAAAGGATTACCGAAATCGCCGCGTTCTTTCTTTTCACCAGCCGCGGTAAGGTTCCCCAATCGCAGCAAAGCTATTTTTCAACTTGCTTCTACGAACCATTTTTTCCGAAAAACCCTTTGAAATGAAATTCAGCGCGAGAAAAATTCTTTAAAAATCTCCCCAACGAAAAACAAAAGAAAAAAATCGATGCCGAGCGTATATCTTACAGAGAGTAATATGCCCATCGCCGAGAATTTAATTCAAGCTTTGTTTGAACTCGCTTTGGCGAAACCCGTCCGAAAGCGCGCTAGAGAGAAGAGGAAACAATAGTTAATTTTTTTTTATTCCAAACGGGCGACTGCACAGTCTGTGCATGTTTGGGAAAAAAAAGTGTAGCCCTTAGTTTTTTTGTCGAACCGAAATCATTCGCCGAGCAACGCTCGCGCAAGCACACACGCACGCACGCGCACACGCATACAAGGTAGTAGCGCAACACAGTGATTTATATCGGTTATTATGCTCTGCACCACTGTGCTGTCCACTGCACACGGCAGTTCTGCTCTGCTTTGCTCGCGGGGAAACGAAAGCGGGCGCAGCACTAGAGCGAAATACGCGCTATTATACAGCACATTTTCGCTCGAGTTCGGCGGCGGCCGATCGATTTTTCGTGCACGACTAATTACTTGCATTTCTGCGGTGCTCTCCCTCGCTCACTTTTCTGTCGATATTTTCTATACGTTGACGACCTATATATCGACAAAAGAAAATACACTATAGGGTGAGATGCGCGAACTCGTGCAAAAAATGTTCCATCAGCAATTTTGACGTTCGCCCGCAAGGCGATCTATTAAAAAAAAAGAACAAAAAAAAGAAAGCTTTACTCATCGACATCGAAAATTTGCTTGCTGCAATGGGAAATTGATTTCGTCAGAATTGAAAGAAAAACCAGGTACTTTTACTCTTCACTGCAGGATTCACGTACCTGGACTGTGCGAGAATCTGCGTACGTTGAGCCGTCATACATATTATATCGAACGTAAAAATGTCATAAGGCTGCATCGCGGTATACGTACGTCGGTGGAAACGACGGCCGGTAATTATTGTAACAAATTAACGGTCGTGTAAACTCGCGCTTTAACTGCCTCCACGCTGCACGCAAGGCAAATAAAACTATAACGATCGATCAGCAAGCGGAGAGTTCCGCGTATGAAATTCGCGCTACAGAGCCATAAATCAATCAAATTATATCGACTCTCGGTGGATGCGTTGTATGGTAGGAATGGGGCGATTCATCGATCATTGAACACGGCGTCAGCAGCAGCAGTAATTTGTCCTCTCTCACTACGGCGGTGAATGCGGCAATTAGGCTCATCGTCAGAAACACTCGTTGGCCATTTTATTGTTAAGGAAGCCGAAACGTCAGCTGGACGATTTCGCTGGCTGATGAATAATCATACCGAGCTAGAGCGAGCCCCTCGAGCAATGCTTTCCCTAATAATTGCCATGCCCGTTTTGTCGCAAGCTCTACTATGCATATACATTCCTGCAGGTGTGCGCTGTGTGTGCGTGTGTGTGCGTGTGTGCGTGTGTGCATATAGATCGGACGCCACGGCAAATGCGCTTAGTACGCGCAGTGTGTTCATCGAAATAATCCGAATATCGCACGTGCTTCGCCCCGGCATTTTCAGCTATACTCTAGCTCAGTACTGGAATGGGCGCTCGATCCAATCATCGAGCGGTTTGCGTTGAGCTTTGCTCTCTGGCTCTCCTGACTTATCGTGCCTTGACTAATCTCTGCCACCTGCAGCTAGCACCACATCCAATATTTGACCTCGCGCCATTTTCGATTTCATATTTTGCTTTTTTTATCAAGTTTGTTGCACTTGCATCGATAACCGATGAAAATAACTTTTAATCTATCTCCAGTGATTTCTGTCGTCAAATAACGATTCATTAGCCCGGCATGTTGGACAGTCACCATAAATCGTTAGACAACTTTTCCGGCGTTTCCATGCCATAGATAAGCTACAACAAGGACAAATCAGTCATTTTTGTGTGGTGGCTGAAAACAATAGATACGAGGAGTTCAGGCATCGAACGAGCTGCGCGTTTAACGGTTGCGTCGAATGATCATCACATGGTTAAACATGCAAGCGTGGCGAGTGGGTGTAAAAAGGAAATGAACAGCGACCTCGAGCTTCTCGTATTTAGGCCACCTGATACCCGATAGTCCAGCCTCAGGATGCGAGAAAGAGAGAACTGATACAGAAGATGACGGCACGTGCGGCGCGTCACTACACAATGTTCATTCAGAGAACTATTCATTGACTGAAACGGCCCACTATTATTAGATAGTACGACTCGAGCGATCGTACCCGTACTCATATCAACGCAAGAATGTCCCGTTGAATTTGAAACTTTTTGATAATAGAAGCAACGCATTTTTGGTTTATCAATTTTCTGATTTGCAACGGAAATACGACTGACATTGCCCCGAAACTTCAAACCAACTCACACCACATTTCCTGCATATCGAACTAGCCTACAATTTAACCTTCGTATCTGCTTGAATTCAATGTTATATTCTTTTTATTTTTGGATACGAGGCATATGTCTATAATATAATCAGGGTCGTAGTGTCCACCGCAACGAGGTTGTTTTCGTGCGACACATCCGCTTGTCGTCGCCACTACCGCCACCGCCGCCGCTGCTTCCGCAACTATATACCGTCGAACGAGCGTTGTCTTGACGGAAACGAGACGCCCGCATATCTGCACTATCATAGAGCTACTTTATTTTTAGCTCTCTTTCTTTGTCGCATTTGCTTCTTCTCTGCATACCAGTCACAGACGCTTTGGCATTAATTAAGGCAGCGATAAGCTGCTGCAAACGTTCTTTACTTTTTTTTTCCTCAACAGCCGAAAATCGTGCGTATCTCTGCGGCTACATTCGCGCCTCTGGCTCCCACATTAAAGAGGTTAGATAAGCTACATTGGCCACTTGGCTTGTGGCCCTGTATTTTTGATTTTTTTTTCTGCTCAACACGCGAACGATGAAGTAGTGAAAAGAAGCAGAAGAATGGCCGGCGAATGGTGCAAAGTTCCGCCAACGGATGACGAGGCACCCTCGATTAAGCGCGAAGCTGAGGGCGCTAAACTTTATTTACGAAAGTTTTGCCCCGCGGCCGGCGATAACTTGTGAGCTTTTAATCAATTCACCGTGCCGAGCAAAGTTGGCCCGTCGCCCGCGACTTTACTATATTTGGATCTTCAGCCGATTCATATCGTTTTATAAATTTTCCTTTTTCCTTTCTACACAGGCATGATCATCTTAGTGAGGTATTGAAGAAGATACTTACCGAAAGACCGAATGACGCTATTACGGCTTTCGAGGAGTACAGTAGGAAATTGCGCGAGGACAAGTTTCGAATGCAAGGCGATTGTTTGCGTGATTTGCATGTGCCACGACCACAATTCAAGGATGCGCAGAAACTTATCGATTTATTCAAAGTACACTCTTATCATTTTCAACATTTTCTCATTCGACGCAGAAAATCGTATTTCAATAATCAAATTTGTAGGTTCACTTGGCAATCAACGAAGATTATCGGAGCGTCGATGAAGGAACAGACGATGCTGTACAAACGCGAGCGATCATTCCTAATCTGTTTGAACTCTTATTTTACTCCGAGCAAGTTGATATTGGATTACCGCGGACTGAAGTTGTGCTGCTAAACTTGGCCATTAGGAAATTAATTGCCAAAATCAAAGTAGAAGATGTTCGGTAATTTTTTTCGCAAAAAGATTTTGCGATCTCTTGCGTAAGTCTCGCACTTGATTACCGACTGAACTTAAAAATTTATCTCAAAGCTTTTGGGGGAAAATCTTGGGAAGATCAAAAAATTATTACGTTATTGAAGCTAGTTTATCGGATTTCGAATTGGAACGGAGATTAGAGGTAATTTCGCAAAAACTGATAAAGTTAATAGGAATACCTTGCTTAAAATACTGTTTGAAATAAATATCAGTAGGAACTGGAGAGAGCTCAGCAGAAGTCTGAGAGAGAAAATGCAGATGATGCAAATGGGGACGCGAAAGAAGCTCAACAAGAAGTGGCAGAGAAAGAGGCACTAGAGGCGGCTCTGGCAACTAAATTATCCGATTCAGCAGGAGAAAATGAAGCGGGATTTGCGGAGGAAGATGATACTTTAAAACTTGTGTTCCCGCCTATACCAGAAAACACTTGGCTACCGCCGCCAAAAGTGCCTCCTGAAAAACTTGGCACTGGCGCCAATGCCAAGGTATCGTACATAAGAAAATTCAATCTTAGGCAGTTAAAGGCGGACATTTTTTATGTCTACAGCTCAAAATCAGATTTCCTTTTTACCAATCGCCAAAAGATATTATTTTTTTAAATTCTTATTCAATAAGGAATTTTCACTCTGATTAATGCTTGCAAAGTCAAACATATTCATACGTGACTTTAAATGAAATTATAATTATGACATTCAATTACGAAAACTATGAAATACACAAATTATTAATTCATAATTAACATAAACACTTGTCTAAGGTCTACTTTGTTTGCAATTCACCGGGATTGGACGACTGGGTGGAATTACCAGCAGTGACTCCGGAGCAAATTGTCATTGCCCGACAAACTATTTACGTATTCACGGGAAATTTGGAGGCTGACGTAAATGAATCTAGCATTATCTTGTTAAAAAATACTTGAGTAACGATGAAAAGCACTGACTTGTTAAGAAAACAAAAAAATGTGGTGCTGTGCATGGGAGCTCGTCACAATTTTCTCGGAATGATTTTCTAGATTCGTACATTCCCGCCGTTTCCCGGAAACGAGAAGAATTATCTACGCGCACAGATTGCTCGCATCGGCGCGGCTACACATGTCTCTCCAATTGGCTATTTTACATTCGGCAATCGGAAGCAGGATGATGAAGAGATGGAAGACGAGGAGAGCGACGCGGAGGACGAGGAAGAGGAGGAAGACGAAGCCGATGGTATATTTAATATGCGCTCATTGAATATCAGTATTTACTGTGTACGATGGATTTTTATGGGTGTAACGTATGCATCAAATTTGTTGAAAACTATAATTTTGCACGACATCGAACTTTTAAAAACGTAAATATTGAAGATATAAGCGGCCTCAGAAAAAAATGAAATATTTTGACGTTTATCTTGATTTTCTTATAATTGTACACTGTGCAATCGAGAGCTTGTATTTCGATGCCACGTTTTTAGAAACATAAAATAAAATAAGAGAAAGAGGGTTTATTTAGCGGTTTCATTGATGTTCTTTCGAAGAAACTGAAATGAATAATTCGTAAAGCTTGAATATAAATCCTGGACGAAATAAGAGAACGCGCAGGAAGTCAAATATTACGGCAACTTTGGTAGGCGCAGAGAGAGTGGTGATAAACCGTCACTACGAGCAACCAGCGATCAGAGATTTAATTGAGTCATCAAACTGGTGTCACCACAGCCCGTGTATACTCGCGCAAGGGCGCGTGATATGGCAGGATCCAGGAAAGGCTGGCGCCGAGGAGGTAAATATAACAGTTTGACTATCAAAGCTCTAACGGCGCACTTTGCCACGCAAAATCGAAGCCCATCAATTAAACGTAATTAGAGCCGATGCAACGGAAAAAAGTTCCCTCGGCATAGGATAAAAGTCATCGTCGAAATTATATAAAAGCGACCGATATGCGCTCAGAAATGCAATCACTTAGCCATTAATCTCTCGCCGAGCCCGAAATTTATCGGAAGTCAATAAAGGGAGGCTGCGAGGCGGACGATTTATGCGCGTTTATTTAATGCGAAATTGCGTTTTCGCGTTTTCGAGGGTGACGAAGAAGACGAGGGTGAGGACGAGGCCGAGGAGGGCGACGAGGCCGATGATAGCGGAAATGAGAAAGAGGAACAGAACGGCTCTGAGAAAGACAAAGGAATCGAGAAGGAGATCGGACCGCCACTGTTGACGCCCCTATCGGAGGATACTACACAGGACTGGCTGACACCTTGGACTGGACGACTCTCTTCCAAAATACAACCCGATACGGCAGTAGCTCTCATTCGTTCTAATGTCTGGCCCGGGGCTTTTGCTATCGCTGCGGACAAGTTGGTTTCCAACCATCATGACCATCCGATCTTAAATTTATGCAATTCTTTATATATTTTTTCTTTATATTTATAAGGATCTTTCAAATATTTGAGCCTTTTACATGGCCTTGCTGTCGGAATTCATTTCATTCTTCCAAGAATTAAAAGCGTTGTATCAGTACAGATAGATTTAATCTGCTTTTTCTGCGCCGTTTCACGCTTTATAACTTGATTTTAGATAAAGCACGCCTGACGGAAATTTCACGCACCACTTTATTTCATAAACATAGCTGCCTCATATATTTAACTTTTGCGTTAGACTATTACAAGTGGAAATTTCATTACTTTTATATCAAATTAATGCAGTTAATTTTTCAATAAATGAAAAGAACTTTAATAAATGAAAGGAATTGCTAAAAAGCTTTTGAAATTTATTAATTCTGAAATATTAATAATGCGATTTAAGGCCTGAAACTCTTGTAAACTTTTCATCGTACATTTATTGCTAACGTAGAATACTTTTCCTTATTCACTGCAGAAAATAAGTAAATAAATAAATACCGATTTTCAGGAAATTCTTCAACGTTTACATTGGCTGGGGTCATAAGCACAATGCTTACAATTATAGTCCAATCACAATGCCACCTATTGAAAACCAGTACCCAATTGATTCGGAACCTGCGGAAATTCAGGATCCGACATTCGATGAAGAGGAGACTTATCGCATCTCCCAACTGCCACCTTCTGACGGTTAGTAATCGCAATTATGTTCACGCCTACAGAAATGAAAGCTCGTTCTATAGTTCTCGAGCAAGTCCTTTAATTATGCAAAATTCCTCTTTCGAGTTGAGATCTCTTCCACTTTTCTAGATGACGAGGAGGAAGACGACGAGTCCGAGAAAACTGTTGATAGCGAAGAGGATTAAAAACTTTAGGAATTAAATTAGGAATTTTTTTATTCTAAAATTCCTGCAATTAAATACTTATCTCTAATTGATCAAATATGGTGAAGCTTTCAAGTAGTTAATTATTTGTTAAGCTATATTTACTTTGATTTATACGTTCAATTGATTATTTTTTTTTTAAATTGTAAAAAATCTAAGTATTTTAATAAACTGTTATCCATAAAAAATGTTTAGTATTTTGACTTTTTATTTGTTAATTATTGAGTATTGAATATTCACTGCGATTTCAAATGTCCGTACAATGCAATGATAATTTTTAGAACTTGAAAATGTATACTTTTATCGCAAATCTCACAAAATGTATTTAAATATTGATGATTTAATAAATGAAAAACGCATCTATATTTTGATTACTTGTAAATTCAAAAGATATGTATTTTGACATATAGTACATAGTACATGAATTCAAATTAATTATATTTTATATAATCGATACTAAATATCATTTGCTATATATCTTTGATTGATATTCATAAATAATTAAATTTTTAAATAAAATTATTTTCCTTATTAATAAATAACGAAATTGTATTACCATCAAAATTATTGGTAGTGTATAATTTTGAATTTGATTTCATCTACACAAGAAATATTTACCAACATGAGGTACAGAAATCGTGGTTTACAACGATATGGCAGATCACGTGAATATACTTCAGATACATGACCGATAGTAGCGTTTTGTTACTGTAACTTGTTGAAAGAGGGAGCCACCACCCAATTCTGACAGCGATAAAATCATGAAGAATGTATATAGTCTCCATGGGTAAAATAATAGTAGTAAGGAGTAAGAAGCAAAAGCTATTGGTAAAGGAGCATGTGCTGATAAAATAACCTTACTTTTAGTTTCAAAAATATTATTGTAAATCTCACATGCCAGTGTACATATATAAAAAAAGATGACAGAAACTGAATGTTCTATACGTCCTTTAAATTGCGAATTGAATTATTTATCAGTACCTGATGGATCTACAATGTTTATGCAAGGTAAACATGATTTTTAGCTTAGAATTTTGTTTTAGTCTCTAAGATTTATTTACTTGAACTTTATTTAAATGAATATCATTGAATTTTAGGCGATACATCAGTGATTGCTGGCATTTATGGCCCCATCGAAGCTAAAGAGAGAAAGATAATCCATAACAAAGCAACGGTTGAAGCTACCTTTGCTCCGATTAAGGGTCCTCCAAGTAATAATTGCATGTTATATTATTGTAAATATATTATAAAAGAACATTAATAAATTTTTTTTAATGTAAGGTATAAATGACAGATTCATAGAATTATACATAAAAGATACATGTGAAGGAGCAATCATTACATCTTTATATCCTGCATCAACTATTTCAATAAATATACAAGAACTGCAAGACTGCGGTAGTGTAAGTTATTTTATTATTAAATAACTAATAAATATATAAAAGTAGTATAACGATACTTGATTCTTTTTTGCAGCTGTTAGCCTGTGTTATCAATGCATCCTGCCTAGCTTTAATAAATTCCAGTTTGTCTATGAAGTTCACATTTGCTGCAATATGCTGTATGATTGATAAGGAGTCAGATAAAATTATCATAGATCCAAACACTCTTCAGTTGCAAGTAAGAGTGAGAAATAATTGTTCATAAGTTTTATTTGATGAATTGTAATAAAATAATATAAATAATATGTCTGATTATTCTAATTTTCCAGAATGCAAAGGCTACGTTTACTTGTACTTTTGATAGTATTAACAAAGAACTGGTCTGTTGTCAAACTAGTGGACAATTTTCAGAAGAACAGTTATTGGAATGTGTAGATAAATGTAAAGAAGCAAGTCAGTATATTTTTGATTTTTACAGAGAAGCTGTGAAAAAGTATATGACAGCAATCTAAGTTTATGCATAATGTTTAATCAAGAGCACTTAGTTTTTAAGGTTTTTTATAGTTATGATCCTACTGAAAAAGCTATATTATATTTATGCTGCCATAATAGGTAGCTTTTATTCTAAAAAAATCACAGATACATCAGAATAGTAAAAAGGTTATGAATTCAAGACTGCAAATATAAATTTTGTAAATATATAGATACTTGAACTTTATAACTGTAATGCCTAACTTGATTTACTTTGTTATTCAAGTATGGCAAGTTTATACAACTTGATACCTTTTGATACATATATTTTATACCAAAAATATTTTTAAAAGTACAACGCTACAGTAAATAAAACTATTTTTATAATTTAAAATATTATTAAATTAAGAAAGAGAACTTAATTTTGAAATGATGTGACAGCAAAATTTATTCTTGTTTTCATAAATAATTTTATTATCACATTCAAGAAACTTAAAATCATATATAAGTTTATAATGTTTATTTTTAATTCTGTGTACACTTGTAATAAAAATAATTTGTAAACGCATCTGTAGTGCATTCAAAATACATTAAAATAAAGCGTTGCATTAAAATATTTGATTAAATATATTTTATAATTATGTTGCAGCAGAAGTGTATTTCATGATACCTGCTTACAACGATACTTACATAATTAAAAGTTCTGTTTTTTAAAATTTGCGTGAAGTTCATAGTCGGCTAGTACAGATGGAGAACATTAAAATGTAAAACTTTTGTATGATGTTTATGATGTTTTAAAGATATATACCATAATGAAATACTATTTCCAAATGTGCTTGCACGTAAACAATAAGAAATTGTTGTCATTTAGTCTGCGCCAAAAATAGTTTGATTTTGAAATTCTCGTTACGAGAGTCAAGCTTGGAAGGCCTCTTCGAAAGTAACAAAAATCGCAGATGCTATCGTAAAAGGGAGTAAATAAAAAGAAAAAAAAGCACATTGAGAGCCTGGTGAAGGGGAGCGTCAAGGATAGCGCGCGTGCGACGGAGTACTTTCCGCAAATTGTCAGGTGCGTCGAAACGGAGCCACGCCCGATCGCCAATCACGTTGCCATCGATGCACCCTTTGTTTCAAACGAGGAGGCCTCGGCGAAATGGTCTTGGTTCGTTCGTTCGCTGAGCGCGCGGCCATCGCCGTACGCGCCCATTAAGTACAGAAATGAGCTGGCTTCCAGCTGGATACTTTAAAAAGAACAAATCGACCCATACGAGAATGCCCGGACGGAAAGAGAGTAAAGATGGAGAACGAAATTAGGAAGCCTTTTAAAATGAGTTTTCTTATTTCTTTAAAGAACAACTCAGCGCGCGCGCTCTCTCTCTCTCGCTCTTTCTTTATTTTAATTTTATCCTGCGCACTGCGCAGATTACATTCCATTACTAATGAACTGCTGCAAGTATTTTAAAGTAAATTAGAGTTTGTAATTGAATAGAAGAGTGCTGATAAAGCTCGTACTAACGAGAGAGCGCATTGAATTCAATTCGAAATGAATTAATTGGCTGATAACAAAACATTTAATCCAAATCAATTAAAATGAAAAATGAACTCGCTTGGAATTTCAAAACGGAAGCCATTAGACATTTATGATAACATCGTACAGAGTTGAACTATACTGAAGGAAGAATTGTTCATTAACATGATAATCAGAGCGATAATGAAAACAATAAACTTACAAACAAGTGAATGAACGAAAAGAAAAGAAAGAACAAAAGTCGGGTCAGAGCGTTCGTAGTGGAGGTCGCCCGGAGGCTCTCCCGTGCGGACCATTAACAAGGAGCGCGCAACAATTTATGGACGGGCTCGCTCATTTCCACTTTATTATTATTTTCTCATCTCATAGATGGTCTCTCTCTTTCTCATTCTCTCTCTCTCTCTCTCTCTCTCTCTCTCTCTCTCTCTCTCGTACCGTATAGAGAACTCAATTTTTTCCCTTTCTCTATATCCTCGCTCACGCTTCATTTTTTTTCTTCCATTTGCCTCTTTGCTCATCCTGAATTTAATAACGAGAGATAGAACGAAAAGAGAAAGGAGAGGGAAGGCGACTAGCGGCATCACGACTTTCGCATTACTGCGTGCCCGCGCGACTTTCCGGCACGGTATAGAGCCTCTTATACGGGTGCAAAAAATATTATTGCTTTTAGCCTCCCGGTTGATTTCTAGCAGTAGCTTATATGCGAAAGACGCATAGTTCCTCTTCCCTCTTTTTAGAGGGCTTATAGAGCTTTGGCATTTTTATAACGATCGATCCATGACTTACGCTGAGTATTGGCTTTGTGTAGCACTCCAGAGTTATAAATTAAAAGCAGTAGTCAAGTGCTTCATTGAAATAATGTAACGCGATAAGAGGCAAATGGTTATTGTACATGCAGTATCGGTAAACAGCGTGTTTCGATGATTACTCGACCTCTTGGAATTAAGTCTTAAGTGATTACAAGCTATTTTCGCTCTTATTGACCTGAAAACATGTGAACTTATTGCAATAATTGTCAAGGAGATATTATACTCTGTCCAATGAACGTAAGTTATGCTGTGATCTACAATTCTTTTGAAACATTCAGAAATTCAAGAAAACGACTTGTTTGAACAATCAGTCTTCACATTTATTCGAATAATGAATGTTATTTATAAAGTAAGCTAGTTGTCTTAATCAATTAATCTATCGATCGGAATGAAAACAGTGGCAGCATCAGCAGTTGGGAGCTTTCGTGTCTCATTTCGTGTCTTATCACTCGTGCAACAATTTGCGCGATGTATCTCGTCTTTCATCGTTCAACATCTATTTTTTTTTTGCTGCCTGTAGTCGTTCTTTCTTTTTGATTGCTGCTGCTATACGAACGTACGGGTGGATTAATCGCTATACGAGTTCAACGAGCTAGTAGCGTATACACTTCGAGTTGGATTAACTGCACAGAGCAGACCAAAGTGAGTGTGTGTGTATGTGCTGGGCTCTCTCTCTCGATTGCAGGCTGCTGAAACGTAGCGATCCCGAGAATGGCTTTTTGATAAACAGAAAATAAAACATCGTCGGACGCTAAGCATCATTCATTGCTTCACTCCTCTTCATTTTTTCATTATTATTCGTCTAGAATAAGAAAACAATTCTATCGACATTCTTCATCGCCGCATGGTCTTTCAAAATCCACGAAGAAAAAAAATGAAAGACGAGAATAGAATCCAAGCCTAAGCTTAATTAACTTTCGAGTATCTCATTCAGACAGACTGCCAATGTAAGTCAAGAGCTACCCTTTACACCGAAGTCTCGAGCTCGCATCATCACCATCATTGTCTTCGTCGTCGTGGCAGGACTTTACGAGTGGTGGCGAAAATAGTCTTCGTCCATATAATCGGCCGCTCGGTAGGTACTCTCTCTCTTTCTCTCTCTTTCTCTCGACCATTTTTCTCGGTTGGTTGCCTCCTCTTCAGTGGCCAAGTGAACAGTGCAGAGCAGCAAGCTCATTGGAGCGAAGGCCGTTGTTATGAAATTAGCATGAGCGATCGGACGAAGGTAAGTAATCGTTTGCGAGCTGTGCAGCCTTAGGTTTGGGCGGAGAACGCTAAGAAGCCTTTGGAGAAACGCCGCCAATTCCCTGCTCGCCTGCGTCCCATTGGTCGGCAAATTTACGACGGCGTTGCATGACTCCCTTATAGCCACCACATACTCGCTCTCTCTCTCTCTCTCTCTCTCTCTCTCTCTCTCTCTCTCTCTCTCTCTCTCTCTCTCTCTCTTGCATGTGCTTAAAAATTTTCCTCGCCACGCATAATTAGCCGTTCGGCCATTTTTTTCTCCTATCTCTTTACTAGATAACTTTTATGTTCTTTCTTTTCCTTAGTCTTGAGCTAGAGTCATTGTTGATTGCGACCCAAGATTGATAACAGTTATAAAGTTATAAAATAGCAGAAAATATGTTAGCCCTAGCTGTTTTCACAAAAAATTATATTAAATATATCATTATCTTTCAGGTACATTAAAATCAAATAGAATGAAAAAAATACATCGAAGATAATAAAGATCTCTAAACAATCAACTAATCTCTTCATACGCATCACACTGCAATATCCACAATTGTTTTTTGCCGAATCATAAATCATAGTCTGTAGATTTTGGCGGCGGCTGTACGCAAACATGGGGCCAGCTGAGTATGAGAAGACGACAAAAGCGTGATTTAAAGGTCACGATGTACATTCTTTAAGCATCGAGCTGAACGTGAGGCCATTAACGACTGTCCATCAAAGCTTTGGCCCACTTTCTTATCGGATTCATTGATCACTTTGACGGTAGTCGCGAATAAGAAATCGAAGAAAAAACTATATGTATATAGCTGTACAAATGCGTTTGCCGAGTCTATAATTCCGTTAGATGCTTTTTTTTAACATTTTTATCTTAATCAAAGCGATTGGAATATTCGCTTAAATATATATTTATTTAAAACGAATCACAGGTGAATAGTCCCATTATTTGCAAGTGTTACCTGCGAGATTTTATCGAAAATAACGTTATGTATATAATGAATTTTTTCTTTATATCCAAGCGATTGATGGCATAAGCAAAAACCAATATTGCTTATGTATGGAAAAGATTTTTTTACAAGCATACAAAAAAAATAAACGGTTCGATAGTGCGTGTACATATATATACAGAACACGAACGATTTCGTATCCTCCAACCAGATAATGACGTTACAATTTTTCACGTTATCCACGCATAAGCAATAACATTGCTATAACCGGCCTTTCTCGCAAGAGTGATCAACTATTCTGTTATCGGCTCACGATCAACTCTTCAATATCTTCATACTTGATCCAACAGACACACAAAAGCCATGTGCACGTGAATTTACAAGTGTACTTCGAGCGAAAGAGTAAGACACCGATAATACACGAGCAAAAGAAGAGAAACAATCGGAACTCTGACCTTTCCTTTGCCCCCCTCTTGACTTGACTCTTCTATACCTTTTTTTCTTGTTACTTGTTATTATTTCTTCTTTTTCCCACTACCTTACTCCATCGTCATTTTCTTTTTCCCCACTTGTGCTGCGGTTGCGCTCGCGCGAGAGACGTCGGCGATGATCAAAAGCGACGCCGAACGCCACTTCCGACAATGCATCTATATGCCTCGTACATAATGCTTGCAGAGGTGAGAGAGACAGAGAGGGGGGGGGGGGGCTATACACGAAGGTGAGAGGCGGTACGTTGAGTGCAAAGTGTGCCCTCGGAGATACGGCCTGTATTTTTTTTTTTTGCGCGCAGGCATATGTAGAGAAATGGGAATGAGACAAAGATAAAGTGCGAAACAAAAAGAGAAAACAAAACTGTTCTAGCATTTAATTTGGAAAATACGTGGAAATAAGATAAAAATTAAATTATAAACTAATTTGTAGGTTGTCTTGATAAATATAACTTAGTATGTTGACAATTGACATAGATATCAATTTTGATAGATAACAGATACTGAATGATCAGAAGTGGACAGGTTAAGAAGGAGCGTGAAAGGAGCATCGATTGGATCGTACCCGGAAGAGCAAGATTGATGGTTTCTTAATAACCGAGAAAAACTGCCAGAACGCACTCGGCACTCGCAGCTTTTTTTATCACTGCCAACTATCTGCACTCGTGCGTCAAATTTCTTTTTATTTGTCTATTATTTCAAAAGGTAGACAAAATGTTGAAAAGTAACATTGGGTGTTACTATTATGAAATTATGTCAAACTCAAGATATGAGAATCAGACATTGTTTATGTAGTCGAATCGTCGAAACTTTTGTCGTTTACATAGTTACAGCGTGACAAATTCTCTGATCCTTTTATTTCTAGAATATTACACGACTATTAGCATTTTAATTGATCCATTTTCATAGGATTTTGTTGCAGTTTCATATGCGGTATATAACTTATTCATGATGTCCACGCCCAGAAAAGAAATAATGATCTTACATGGCACTATTCGCTGATCGGTTTCATTAAATTAGCGTGTAACGCCAATGCATCATTTCTGTTCAAGACCAACCAAGACCATCAGAAAGAGAGAGAGAGAGAGAGAGAGACAGATAGATAGAGAGAGTAAACGGTGGAAAATTAATGGCTTATGACTTGCAAGAAAATTTTTTACCGCGAGAGCGCCCCAATTTTTATTTACTGAAGATTAGTCACAACTGTCAGGCTCACACAATTGTTTCAAAATCTACTGAATGGATTTAGTGTTACCACGACATCAACATAGTTATAGTATTAGATTTTTTTAAAAAAAAGGAATAAATTATCTCGAAATAATTTACTTTCACGCAACTTTCAACATTCAACTATCATATACATAATAAATCTTACTATCAGTTGATGCAATAAAATTAGGGATGAATCATATTTATAGTTAAGTCATCACTTGATACGCACTTTCTATAGAACCTTAAATCAGTGGTTCCCTGCACACATGAGAAATCGAAGCAAATTTTATCCTTATCAGCTTCGGTAATACGAATTTCCAAGCCATCATCCTTGTCTTTGCAGTTGTAGCCTGGGCCTTCCAAATCAATGGGTTTCCTTGATGCTTCGTTACCGTGGATTTTATAAATATGGAAATTTTTCAATTTCTCATCATCAGATCCTGATGTAGCTATCAGTATTCCTCCTTTATAAATACTACGGACCGCAAGCCAGTTTACACTTTTTTCCAATGAGATGCTTGCGTTTGCTGTTACCTGACCATTCCCATCGTACTGAACGCAATTGATGGATGTGGGTTTCGAGTCCTAGAATATCACGAATTAACTTTCATAAATATTATTCATACCAATTTAAAAATCGATTATAGAGAAAGTCTTACATACCGCTTTGTGCATCCTGCAGATGGAATAAAGTTTATGAGCGTTCGAGAAAGCAAGAAGTCTATCTTTTTCGGATGCTTCTGGTTCAAAATTCAACTCTGACAATTGTTTTTTTTGTCCTTCTTTATCAATAAGTAAAACCGTAAGACTCTTCAGATCTTGTGAGTGTACGAAAAATCCTTGACTAGGGTCTTTTTCCGAAACTGCACTTGCGTACTGCGAAACATCGGCATGGTATGATTTAACTCCACCAATTTGTTTACCATTCAGGTCGAACGTGAGTTTACATTTGGTTTCACCGTTGCAAGATTTTTTACTGTTGAGCACAAAGTCAACTTGATTGTCGTAGTACACAATAGCTGGGAAAAAACCGTAGGCCGCTTTGGGGACATCAAAACTAAAGTGTGCGTTTGAGCATGTGTTCATGTTTAGTATGGTGATTTTCAAACTGTTGCTCTAGATCATACAAAATTAAAAATGTTAGTATTGATAAATTAATTCATAGAAATAATATCGTCAATAACAAAATATCAATCGAAAATTTCAATAAATATTTATCATATTGATATGATTTTGATAATTGATAAACCGTATTATCATCATTTATCTATCGTTGTTTTTTTCATCAATGTTTTAGAGATTATAACTGTCGAACATATAAAAATAAAGTTTTTCACGAACTTACCAGATTGGGCTCAGCATTTGGATTCATTGCCACGTCATACCAACCAACAGCAACATAATTTCTAGTAAATGGTGTAATTTGGAAGAATCCATTGAAAAACAATTCCTTTCCTTTGTCTGCAAATATTTTAATAGCCTTGCAGACGCGATCTTTACGTCCTGGCGTCACCAATGTAATATCGCACACTCTTTCAGTTTTAGAATCGGTTATTTTACATTCGCCCATTGGATAAGTGTAAGCGTCAGTGGCAAATAACGTTCCTTGATGAAGGAATGTTGTATTACTAGGTGAGATCTGCCATACTCGTGTGTACATTGACTCCGATGATGATGGAGAGGCTGCACAGTAGCAAACTAACAAAATGAAAAGTACTTTCTTCGGTAACATCCTGACCTGTCATCAAATAAAAAAATCTAATTGTTATTTTAATAAATTTAAAATTAATGGACATTAAAATCACATCCAGATTAGAATGATTTTTAATGGTTGTTAAGTGTCATGTATAAGTTCAATATTCCAAAACAATAATATTCAATTCGTAAAACTCACAGTGATGTATTCGGTATAAGTCTTCGCCGGCAACTGAATACGCTGATAGGTCTGTCGGTTAGCTTTTTATAAGCACAAGTGTTGTGGAAAAATGTGTATTCTAAGAATTGAACGATGTATTCATTACTTCGATAACTGACGTTTGAGAAACACCGAATTGCATTATAAAGTTTTATTTCCTGATACTACGTATCAACTTGCTATAATAAAATTATTATTTATAATAAGTTCGAGTATACGTACAATCACAGTCATTGAATCTTTATTCTTTCTTTGTGCGATAACAGTTATACGATTCATTTAAGAGCAATGAGTCATAAGAGAAAAAATGTTTTTTTATAAGGAAAAATAAGACAGCCTGTTTGACGATGTTAGCTAGGAAAAATTCAGTGAACTATTGCAATTCAAGCAAACTGATTAGATTTTTAAGTAATTATACAAATCATGCGTATACTTGGAATCGGTTAGATTGGGAAATCGACTTCATTGACTTTTGAAGAAAAATGCAACAGTTGAAATTAAAGAATTAGAATGCAATAAATGCATATAAAAGTGAATGAATAACTGCTATAACAGCTCTTTATCAGAAGACTGCATGCGAATTCAAAAACACACGACATCGCAAATCTGAGAAAAGCAGAAAGCTCGTAAAGGAGAGATAGAGAGGGAGACGAATGGCCGAAGAAGGAAGAGTTCGAAAAGAAAGGAAAAGAGATAGAGGGGGCGGTAAGGAGAGGGGGGAGGAGAAAAAAATGGAAAAGTGACAGGTGACGCGAGGAGGACACGCGTTCGCAGCTAAGCGGAGCTAATGAGGCTCCTCGTTCGCGTCGACGCAGGTTATATTTCTCTTTGACGCATCGAGAGTCCGTCCATTCATCCATCCGAGAGAAAGAAGGGACCCTCTCCCTCCCGTATGCGCGCGAGATTGACGGGCCGCGCTGTCCCTGCTGACAAGAATGTGACAAGAACTGACCTGACTCAAGAAGCAACTTGCCGCCAATGGGACCAACTTCCTACACGTATCAGCTACTGTTTCTATGACTGATCCAGGAATACATATTTGTACTCGATCGCGATATACCAGTTAAAAAATTCCTAGTACGACATCAAGCTGTATGAAAATTATTTAATGCCAAGACTGGTTTCATTATGTGTTTTCTCGAGTTGGTGTCTTGACTAATAACATCAATAATCATTCGTTGTTATCGCTCGTATTATCCGTATCATTTTAACACAATGATAAACATAGCTCAAGTTTATCTGCATTTATCATTTCGATGAATCACTATTTTACGAGCTGAATCTTTTTATGGCAATGTTAGCAACATGTTACCTCACATACATCGAGCTTTTAGAAAAAGCTCGTGAACACCAAAAATAAAAAATACGTCCAAACTAAAGACAAACTAGATTTTCAGAAGCAGTATTGATCAAGTTGACCTTATGTATCAAAAGTATTATTAAAAGTACAGAATGGTATATCATCCGCAGAGAAAACATCAAATTCATACGAAGGCAATTATCTAAACAAAAGGGGAACGCGTCAGGGGCGCAACAAGCGGAACGAGAGAAACGAGGAAAAGTAAAGAGAGTATATAGACACTAAAAAAAAAGGAAAGTAGGTGCTCAGAGAGCGACAGGCTCCGAGAAAGAGGGAAAAATACAATAGCAAGCCGAGCTAATTCATCGCGAGAGGCCTGGCGATCGATCAATCTTTGTAAAAGGGGCCTCCTCTTGCACACTCGATGCCGGGGGCTACTCTCGAGCCAAGCGAAGGGACATTAATTGACACGGGGCAAGAGAGCTACGATCGCTGCTGTGCACTGCCTGCTGCAGCCAACAAGCGACTCGAAATCCAGAGACAGAAGCTAAAAATTGGCCGTATATATAGGTTGCTGCTGGCTGTTGAGAAACGAGATTGTGTGCAGCTGGAAATGTGCAACTCGCTTCTAATTTACTTTATACTCAATTTGACGCCTCACTTGTTAGAAAGCTTTTTGACAGTGATTCTACTGTACAAACGATGAAAATTATTTGTTGGTATCATCGCTGCATTTAAGGCAGTGGAGTAATAATTTTAACAGAAATCAAAATCACAGCTTGTCAAGCTCAAAACAAGCTGCAATCTGAAGGAATGACACGAACAGCTCGCAAGTCAAGTGGGACCAAAAGGCAAAAACAAAGGAACAATCAGAACTGATGAGGCAGGTTGAGAAAGAAAAAAAGAATTGAAAGATTTAAGATTCAATGGCAGAAGTCGCGAGCGACAGAGCCAAATTCATGTATATACGCAGAAAGAGAGAGAGAGAGAGAGTGCAGATCGTCGGTCGATCTTTGGACAAACAAGAAGAGACGAAAGAAAGGGGAAAAAAGATGTATGGCATGGGGCCCTTTTCTCGATAGGCGGAGCTTACGCGCTCGCTCACGACAAGGACGCGCCTAAGCGTCAAAGGTTTCCGAGCTGCGCTGCTGTTGCGCGACAGTGAGCGAATAAATAAGGGCCGAGCGACTTTCCGTCACCCGATTGTTTCGCCTGCGCGCGCAAGCTGATTTATGTCCCCGACCAGTTGAGACGTTTTAAAGAGCAGATCTCGAGAAAACGATGACAACGATACCCTGGCTACCGATGCACCACATATACCGAATCAACCATCTTGATTCCATCCTTTCCTTCTTCGTCTTTTCTTTTTTGCCTAAGGTTTCTATTCTTCTGGTGGTGATGACAAGTGCTGAGATATATGTCCGTCAGTCTCGTGACAATACCCTTCCGTACGATGATCATTTTTGCATAAAGGACGCCTTCTTTTCGTGTGCCGATCTTCCACCACTTGTATGTGTGCGTTTTTGTTTGGCTCAGTTTTAGGCAATTTTTCTTTTTCTTTCACTTGTTTCTCGTTTTTTACTACTGTTTAGATTGCCAGACATTGTGCGAATTGGAGCCGACCCCGTTTCTGTTGTATGCTAATTTGTTAAGGGCAAATTTCGGGACTTTGAATATATTTAAACTGAAGTATAAACAATGTGATTTTTTAATACTTACATCTAAAAAATTCTAAGATTTGTAGTTCGCTCCAGTAAAATAGTAAATTTCTTAAAAATTTCTATCAGAAAACGTAATTTATATAACATCTTACTGCATACTAAATTTATGTTACGCTAGAGTACGATCACACGATAAATGCACGATCGAAATGATTTCATATAATTAGACAATTTCAATTTATCTACTTACTGCAAATTAAACTAATTATTTCATGAATGTACAATAATAATTTTATCAGTGCATTTTTGATAAAGGATGAATTAACAAATCAATTGATTATTTTTCAATTGTCTTCATTAAAATATATAATTTACGTTGAAAGTTTACTTTTTTGAAATGACATGATATTAAATTGAAATTCAGAATATTGTTATTCTTACAATAAGTATAAAGATCTGTTGAATAAAATAGACTTATAAATTTATAGCAATGTTAGACGAAATTTAAGTCACTTTACAAATCTAAATACACACATTTTTCTAATTTCTTAAACAGATTTTTTTCATATACCTTTGTGTTCATTGTAAAAATAACAATATTTTGTATTTGATAATATTTTTGTTTAATGCACCGTTAAATAAAAAACACAAATTAGGATTCCGATAAATGGAAAAAAAATCTCGTTGAATGAAACATTTTTGTAATTAAACAAATCTTTTTATCAGCTATGGCAATACACTAACTGAAATATGTGGAATAACCAAACGGAAAAAGACAGAGATATGACAGCAATTGTATGGTGCTTACGTAGGTAAGAGTCAATGAAATCTTTCAAAACGCATAAATTTCCTCGCACAAGGCAAATGAGTAATCTGCTGTACCCTAAGTTTGAAAATGTTGTATCTTTTTGTATGTTAATGGTATGTATATTAATTTTTATATGTAATATTTGAATCATTTGTCTTTTTTCAGGCAAATATTTTTTCTTAAATTATTTTATTTTCTTAATTAAAATTATGACTATAATTCTTAAAAATATGTTTGAGAATAAGCATTAATTTTTCTTTATTGGAGTCATCAGTAAAATCTATTTTTTCCGCTGGCTTTTTATATTCATTGATACGTTGATACGAGTTTTTAAAGAATCCTTACTTTGGCCAATTAAAATTATTATAATTAAAATTATATACTCATATTGTAAGTAATAAAGCTAATAAATAAATTTCCTATGACCGTCTTAATTACTGTAGTACATTGTTTAAATTGTTAGAGCTTTAAATGGGTCTATAAGCACAATAGTTTATTAACAAAAAATGTTATTTTCTACATAGAGAATATTTCTTGAAATATTGATATTTTTAATTTGTATTATTAATAGATTTATATTTCGAAATAAAAAGCCAAAAAAGTGCTGCAAACGCGCAGCAAAACAGATGCGAAGCTCGCAGCAGATTTTACACGAGGATCTCCGACGAAATAACACGTTCCCTTTTAATTTCAGTTTACTACTGTAAAATTGTTCGAGCAATAACGACAATGGAACCGTTTTCTCTGCTTGCAGCAATGGCGATCTTCTCTCTCTTTCTCTCGTGTGGAACGCCTCGAGAGCAAACGACAGGTTTGCGGTCTACGGTATTACTTTTGCCTTCGACTTACTCTCTTCTCTGCTTCTTTTCTTTCTCATTTTAGTTATTGAGGCGGCTCTTTCTTGCTCGTTTGTTTGCTCGTTCGAGGCCTCGCCTTCTTTTTGCTCGTTAACGGTTATTAAAATGTACGCCGAGTAATTGGTATCTTCAAAATTGCAAAGTCCTTCGCTAAGTGTTCTACTTATCTCATAAGTGCCTATTTCGCATCGGTTTGCGGTTTATACTGCTACGAATATCAATTGCACTCCAAACTGTTACAACTTTTATGTTTATGATTTCTACATGAACAAATATTTGTTATTAGTGATGAAAACGCATAATATATGTATATGTTTACCCTTTGTTTGACAAGTATATGTTGACATCGACATTCATTGCGCAATAAACGTTCTCTGAAATGTCAAAGGGACTTTTCCGAATACAATAAATGCATTTTAAAGTTCTGCCCCATTTACCAATAAATGCGTGTTCTTCGATTATACAATATATTAATGGTACA